TAGCGAAGCCCATAACTCCACTGACCGGAAAATTTTCATTCTGTTTGTCTGTTTGTTTGTCTGTCTGTTTGTTTGTCTGTCTGTCTGTCCACACGATTACTCGAAAAAGAATTGAGATAGCGACCTGGGATTTTCAGGGTCGTTTTGTATCGTAAAAAGACAGATCGAGTTCGAAGATGAGCATTCTAGCTCAAAAATTGGCTTTTTAAAAAATCAAGAACAAAAGGTTGCAAAATATTTGTTTCTTCAAATATTTTTTTATGCGCTTCTAAGAGGTAACTCGTGAAAGAAGAATCATTTGGGCGAAAATTTCGCCCGTTTTGCTCTATCTTGTACCGTTTTGGCGCTATGGCTCATTTCTTGGGGAAAACAACGTGAAAAAGACAAAAAGGTCTAATAAATCGTAAAAAAGGCTTCATGTCACAGAATTGAAAAGGGAACAATCCTTAAACCACACATTATGGGTCGAACCACACCCTCTTTTGGGCTGAAGGGTCCCTAGATTATCTAGTATCACTAAAACGTTGATTTTTACATAACAATCTGTCAAAATTCGAACTTTTAATGAAAACCGTTACCGAACAGCAGAAGTTTCATATCCCTAATTTTAGAGTACAAAACCCCTACAAATGGTTTCAGTATGTCAAATTTTGGGCCCTCCCATTTGCTCGTCCCGGGTGTCAGCGCCGCAGGCCTAGCTATATGTGCGCCAGGCGCGTCGCAGCGTAACAGTGTTTCGTGATATATCGCGAAGCCTGTTACGCGAGACGTGGTCTGGCGTACATATAGCTAGTTAATGTCTACAAATGCTCCAAAATTATTTTCTTGTTTTAGATAATAATTTTCTGATGTTTTCATTGGTTCAGCCCTAAATGACATGTCTTTCAAATATTTTAGAAGTTACGGAAAGGTTTTATCATTATCGTAGCTTCTGAAATCTTGCGCGTTAAGTGATAATTGGGAAAAATTACTCAAGTATGAAAAGTGTCGTTCCTTTACAAACCCAAAGTTTCCGGAACTAATTTTTTTGTTTGATTTGTTTCAAAAGGAACCTACCTACATAATTAATACCTAGTTTTGATCACCTGACTCGTTTTAAGTCATAAAAATAACCAGAAACAACTAGTTTAAAACTAGGGGCTTAACTGTGATGTAAGGCCTTAAGTTACGAACGCCTGATTCAAAGCGCATGATGACATATTTTGATGTAACATTTTCAGATGACTTTTTCTTTTGGGTGCATGCGCACCCATTGAATGTTACGCATGGTGTCCTTCAGTCGCCACAAATTAATGAAAGTGATATCGATTATCTATGGGGCTGGAATGTTTGCTTGCGAGTGCGAGTGGGTGGGGCCTCTCTGTACTCGTGTGGTATTTCTTGTTCCTGCAGAGCTTGTATAACGCCATCTGCCATGTCTTAAAGAAAATAGTATCTGTTATCTTCGGATTGAAACATGAATTCGATGGTAAAAACGCAATTTGCTCCACTTCTTACTTGGCCCATGCACTTTTATTTCTTATATATTATGGTCTTTTCGTGATGAGAGTTTGTTTTACAGCATGCATTTAGGCTCACATTTGCGTTACCAAAACTGTTTGGCCTGGTACCTGGAAGGATGCTCATCTTTCAGATCTTAACTGGTGTCATTCACATCTCTTTTTCATGTCTTTTTATCATCCTGATCGTAACGCTGATAATGATTAGAGATACAAAAACCACCGATACGGCCTTGATATTGTTGGGCCCAGCAGGTCTCTGTTTTATGTCAGCTAGTTTCGCGCTCAACATTCCGAGGAAAAGAAGGTGAGAGGTTCGTCATTGAGACACAATGACATTTTGAGGTGGAGGGAGTGGGGCACAAATCCAAGAATAGGAAACAGGATTTGAAAACTTGTTCGCATTAAGATATATTAAAATAAGCTTCAGGTTGCATTTGGAGCCACGAGCTCCCCAAGGCCATTTCATGCCAAATCAGCAAAGAGTCGTTCTACGCCAATCCGACAGAGCGTCATTCTATTGTTCAACACACAGATTTGCAGAGTCCTCATCGGTCAAAATGGATCTCCGAGCTAATTTTAAGATATCTCGTCGAACTTTCCTCCATGTGTCCAATTTTTCTGTCCCAAATTATCGCCCCACTCTAGTGTCGATCATTAGATAATGATGCCGCGCGTATTTCAGATTTTGTGGAACATTATCCAAGCAAACCCCTCGACGAACCCTTACCCTTACATAAGAGAGGGTGGGGCTGGGGCAGTGTGTAACAGACCTCCATATTCCGAATGTCTTGTCCGGAACCAAAAGTGAATGTTCATATACTGTGTTCTGAATGACTATGGTCGTTTGCAATAGAGAACGCCTAGGTTGGGGAGTTGTAACGGCTGTGAGAGGACGGCTAAGTCGGGCTCATCCGATTTTTAGGGAATTTTCATCATCTTACGACATAATCTTTTTGGGTCGAGGTTGTTGGGTTACAAACTACCCCGAACTAATTATTTTCTATCGAAGTGGACACCTTAGCATTTGTAAAATGGTCGCTGTCACAAACACAACCTCGAGGGTTTTCGGTCAAAGGCCACATAACAGGCTGTGTACCCTCTGGGGCAGTGTGTAACATGAACGTCTCGGGTAGTCTACGCGGCGGTGTGTAATAAGACGAATCGTCTTATTTGCATATCAATGATATGCCTGTTCCCTCACAGTTTCACTAAACACAAGTTTTTGTTTACAGTTCAAGTTTACAAAATATATCCAAAATAAGTACTTTTTCATGTTTTCAATTAAAAACTCGTAAATTTAGGGAAAATTCCATTTGAAACATTAACTTTGTTGATAAAAACTGCAGCTGTTATGGAAAGGAAGGTGAAGCTATTTTCTACCTTTGTAGCTGTCTCCAGAGCTCAATCCTACCCTCTGTTACACACTGCCCCACTGTCCTGTCCCCTGGGGCGGGGCAGTGTGTGTTACAAATGCAGGCCTTTGTTCAACAAGCTCTAGGTCATACAGGAATGCGCCTAGTAATACATCCGAGCAGCTTTTAGGTTAAGTAAAAGTCCAATCTATTTTTCTGCGCCCGATTTACCTATGTTTTTTCCATAGTTTGACTCTTGTGTCCAAATTCCAAAATCTGTTACACACTGCCCCACCCTCCCTTACGTCTTTGGCAATATCGGATTCCCCCTATAATTTCCGATCAAACGAAACTACATGTGGTAGGATTTGGTGGATTGGCAAACAATATACCCGTTAAAAACGGAACGTATATGGGTCGAAGGGTACCCGACTCGCCAACTCGTTGCACACAACGAAAAATTCTCGCAAGATACTCGCGACAACTAGCGTAAAATTCGCGAAAAAATCGGGAAAGTCTCGCCTTGTACTCGCGGATACTCGCCATTACTCACATAAACTCGCGGAAACTCGCTAATACTCTCGAATACTCGCGGACACTCGCGGAACTCGTTGTACACCCACTTGAAGAGTGGAGCACCCCTCGACATGGGTCATATAGTATATCCCGTATTTGCCGGTATACAAAGTCGCATATGGCATGTATACGGCTAATACATTATACATGCATGGGGGATTATGCCGCATGCATTTTCCCCCATGTTAGTAGGGTCATGAAAAAAAATGGCTTGTGCTCAAGTGGACTTTATTGAAAATTCCCGGCCTCGATCTAAATATGTTCCAAATTGACATCTGTCCGCGCCTCACCACCGAAGTTACTGCCATTTTTCAGATGGTAAAGGTTACTTTGTGTGAAATTTCATACCTGACTGCGTCAAATATGTTTTAAAATTTAGAGAGGCCGTTGTAAATTACTCTCTCCATCGGAGCGTTTTGAAATTGCACAGAAAGTCATACTGACTGCGACTGTGGGCGACACTTAGACGTTTCTTTGTCAAATGGGACTCAAACTTATTTGTGGGACAGGCGCGGATGGTTCCCATCGTCGGAAATGTCTTAAATTTGCCACATATTCACATCGAGTCATGGACTTGCGAATAAAGTCCACTCTACCATATGTCAATTTTTTTAAACACCCTTCCCCATGTATGTGTATGACATATACCGGGTGTCTGGGAGAAGACGCGGCAGCTCGAAGGGTTGCCTACACACTGGCTTGCAAGCGCCGTGGGCGCGAGAGGGGGAGCGGTGGAGGTGGCGGGAGGCGGCCGGTCGCCACGGTCTCCTCCAGCCACCTCTCTCTCCCCCTCTAGCCATGGAGTAAAGCGGTATTAGTGGAGGTCGGAAGGGAAAACCCACTGCACTTTAGCGTAGAAGCATGAAACTTTGCACACTTGTACATTGGTACCTAAGGATTGATTTTTCAAGTGGAGGCAATCGATTTGTCCCTTAGGATTCAAAATAGAGGCCATTTTCCAAAATGGCGGTTGAATAACCACTTAGGCCCCTTTGTATTGCTTCCTGTACATATTCCGGTCTGATATTCGTGCGGTAAAGATGCTATTCGACAGAGGAAGGTGTGCGGAACCCGACGCTGAAGTCGGATTTCAAGTATCTCGTCTAGATTTTGAGCAAAGGCCGGATGAAACATTTCGTACTTTTTGTGAAAATAGTTAAAGTTTGGTTTAACGACTGTAGATCCATTCCGAGCAGGTTTTTCGAAACGTCGGTCCTTATAAATGTTGTCGGCCATGCCTTTACAAAGAGAATGAGCTTTCGTGGAGCTCTGTATGTCTTTTAGTTTTACTTCTAGAGCAATTCAAAGCTCACCATGCAGCTTGTGTTGACGCCTCTGAGGGCGTCCTTCCCATAAGAACACGTG